ACCCCCTCCCAGGTACTTGTCTTGTATCCTGAGTAGCTCTTTGACAGTCCAGGGGCCTGGCGAGGGCACCTGGAGGCGGAAAATAGCAGCAGCAGCAACAACAGCAGCAACAACAACAGCAACAGCAACAGCAACAACAACAGCAACAGCAACAACAACAGCAACAGCAACAGCAACAACAACAACAACACCAACAACAGCAGCATCAACAACAACATCAATAACAACAACCATTTTAAGGCTGTACGCTCTTACTTGCCCGCGAGTCATTCAACACGTATACCCTACACCCTCGATGCCCGCCCTCTTCGTCTTCGATCACACCCCTTTCGGGGGGATTATTTCTCTTTGCTGGGGCCGGCGGGCTTAGACGTACGGGCAAACCGGAACGGGCGGACAATCCTTCGGGGGCGTACATCTCTCTGCCCGCCATTGGAATTGGCGCGGGCCCTGCAAGAGGAGGAGGGGAAGAACGAGGGAGAGTGGGAGGAAGGGGAGGGGGAAGGACGAAGGAAGAGGGAAGATACCACGTTGTGAAGGCGTCCTTGGCGCGTGCGTGGTTCCTGAGCGCCGAAACGCAATTCCAGAATAATTTGTGAGGACGTCGCACGCGAGAGCGCAGTCCTGAGTACATTGTGAGGAAATCTCAGGCGGAAGCGGGGGCCCTGACTAAGTTGCGAGGAAGTCTCAAGCGGGAGCGCCGTTCCTGAGCAAATTGCACGGAAGTCTCAGGCGGGAGCGGGGGTCCTCACTAAATTGCGAGGAAGTCTCAGGCGGGAGCGCCGTTCCTGAGTCAATTGCGCGGAAATGTCAAGCAGGAGCGGGGGTCCTGAGTAAAATTCGAAGAAGTCTCAGCGGGAGCGCCGTTCCCACGTAAATTGCACGGAAGTCTCAGGCGGGAGCGGGGGTCTTGATTACATTGCGAGGAAGTCTCAGACAGGAGCGCCTTTCCTGAGTAAATTGAGCGGAAGTCTCAGGCGGGAGCGGGGGTCCTGAGTACAAATCGAGGAAGTCTCAGGCGGGAGCCGTTGTTGTTGTAGCCCGGGGGGCAGGGGCACAGTTTGAGCAGGAAGATTTTCATTGCGAAAAAACAAGGTGCGAGCCCCGGGGGTGGCACTTCAATCGAAAAAAAATCAATGTGCACCGGTGGGGGGGATCAACAATAATTATTCTTCAAGAAAGACAGTTCAACAACAACAACAACAACAACAATTACTAGCACGTGGGGACACTCCGTTCTCACCAGTGCCAGGGTTTTCATAGGAGGCGGGCAATACCCCCACTTTGTGGGGGGGCCGGTTCAAGCTCTACCAAATTTCCAAACGACTCTTCGCCACCACCCACACCCAGCTTCCCGCCCTATGACGTTCGGACACTTCACTTCGTGGCATGCGGACGACCGTGGCTACTATTCAGGGCCCCGCGGCCGACGACGACGGCGTGCGCGCGCGAAGAAAAAACGAATGTGTCCCGCATGGTATTATTTGACAGGGATGATGGCCCTGGCAGGTGCGCAACCGTTGTCGCAGAAGTTCGAAAAAGTTGCTCGCAAAAGCCCGTTTGACAGAAATGTTTAAAAAGTGTTGGGTTTCCTACGAATCCGCAAGAGCGCGCGGGATGAGATTTTGACATTTTTTTGTTGAAAAACCATTGGTTTTTTGATGTTTTTATGTTAAAATCGCTGCGAACACTAAGCTTTTGGAAGGATTTCGTCTTGCGCGCGCGAATGTCCACTTTACCTTATTTTTTGCAAGGGATTCTTGAAATTTGATTATATTAGAACAAGAAATGTCATTTTATAGTGTTTTTTGCAAGGGAAAACGGATTACAACAAAACAACCGGATCTGGATCACATCGTTTTACCTGAGGCTTCCTCACGAAAATGATGAAAACGTGGCTGCGGCCTAGGCGCGGCGGGGGGGGCGTGCACCAGGGGGCCCAACAATAATTATTCTTTAGAAGTAATAATATTCAACAACAACAACAACAACAACAACAACAACGAAACAACAACAACACCAACAACAACAACAGCAGCATCAACAACAACATCAACAACAACAACAATTACTAGCACGTGGGGACACTCCGTTCTCACCAGTGCCAGGGTTTTCATACGACGCCCGCCAATACCCCCACTTTGTGGGGGGGCCGGTTCAAGCTCTACCACATTTCCAAACGACTCTTCGCCACCACCCACACCCAGCTTCCCGCCCTATGACGTTCGGACACTTCACTTCGTGGCCTGCGGACGACCGTGGCTACTACACTGGCGCATGGGTACAGTGACTTGTTGTGGTAACATTTTCTGGACGCTAGCTTAGTATACGACTTTTCCCCCTGTTCCAACACTGGACACCTGTACTGGTTTTTGGTGGTAACGTGTTCCTGACGCTAGAATTCCTAGCGTCAGGAACACGTTTCCTAAGAAACCCAATGGTTTTTGAAGATTTCGGCGTGCGCGCGCGAAGAAAAAACGAATGTGTCCCGCATGGTATTATTTGACAGGGATGATGGCCCTGGCAGGTGCGCAACCGTTGTTGGAGAAGTTCGAAGCACGTGAAAAAGTTGCTCGCAAAAGCCCGTTTGACAGAAATGTTTAAAAAGTGTTGGGTTTCCTACAAATCCGCAAGAGCGCGCGGGATGAAATTTTGACACTTTTTTTTTGAAAAACCATTGGTTTTTTTTGATGTTTTTATGTTAAAATCGCACGAACACTAAGGTTTTGGAAGGATTTCGTCTTGCGCGCGCGAATGTCCACTTTACCTTATTTTTTGCAAGGGATTCTTGAAGTTTGGTTATGTTAGAACAAGAAATGTCCACTTTGCCTTATTTTTTGCAAGGGAAAACCGCCCGTAACAAAACAACCGGATCCGGACCAACCCGTTTTGCCGGAGACTTCCTCACGAAAATGATGAAAACATGGCTGCGGCCTAGGCGCGGCGAGGGGGCCGTGCACCAGGGGTCCCAACAATAATTATTCTTTAGAAGTAATAATGTTCAACAACAACAACAACAACAACAACAACAATCATTTTACCCGAACGCTCAGTGTTCTCACCAGTGCCAGGGTTTTCATGCGACGCGAGACAATACCCCCACTTCGTGGGGGGGCAGTTCAAGCTCTACCAAATATCCAAACGACTCTTCGCGACCACCCAAACCCAGCTTCCCGCCCTATGACGTTGGGACACTTCACTTCGTGGCGTGCGGACGACCGTGGCTACTACACTGGCGTGGGGTACACACCCACAGAACTTGGTCACTTATTCGGGGCGCGCGTGTGCCCAGCATCCTGCAATTGTGACATACAATACATGACACAGACAGACAGAGAGAGAGACAGAGAGCAGACAGAGAGAGAGACAGAGAGAGCGGAGTTGGTCACATTTTTGGGGCAAGTTCCTAAGATCGTCGTGTTTTTTGTTGGTCTTGCGCGCGCGAATGTCCACTTTACTTTTGTTTGCAAGGGAGTATTGAAATTTGATTATGTTAGAACAAGAAAAAGTAGCTCGCGCGAGCTCATGTAACAGAAATGTTGAAAAACCATTGGTTTTGTGGGAGTCGGACAGCGCGCGCGGGATGAAATTTGGACATTTTTTTTGAAAAACCATTGGGTTTTTGATGTTTTTATGTTGAAATCGTTACGAAACCTAAGGTTCTGGAAGGATTTCGTCTTGCGCGCGCGAATGTCCACTTTACCTTATTTTTTGCAAGGGATTATTGAAATTTGATTATGTTAGAACAAGAAAAAGTAGCTCGCGCGAGCTCATGTAACATAAATGTTGAAAAACCATTGGTTTTGTGGGATTCGGACAGCGCGCGCGGAAGGACATTTTGACAATTTTTTCTTAAAAAACCATTGGGTTTTTGATGTTTTTATGTTAAAATCGTTACGAAACCTAAGGTTTTGGAAGGATTTCGTCTTGCGCGCACGAATGTCCACTTTACCTTATTTTTTGCAAGGGATTCTTGCAATTTGATCAAGTAAGAACAAGAATTTTCATTTTATGGTGTTTTTTTGCAAGGGAAAACGGATTACAACAAAACAACCGGATCCGGTACCAATCGTTTTGCCTGAGACTTCCTCACGAAAATGATGAAAATGTGGCTGCGGCCTAGGCGCGGCGGGGGGGTCGTGCACCAGGGGTCCCAACAATAATTATTCTTAAGAAGAAATAATGTTCAACAACAACAACAACAACAACAACAACAACAGCACAACCACCAACAACAGCAGCAACAACAACAAACGTCCGTCGGGATTTCTTCACGACCCGGAGGGGGTCTGGGGCCGATCTGCCCGGCCCCCTCGTCCACCCCGAACTTCGCCCCGCGCCCCAGCCTTGCGATCGCGCGAGCTGCCGCGGACCTGGTGCCAGCCCAGCGGAAGCGAGCGCTCTCGGGCCGACGCCATGGGGCGACATGCCGGGCGAACCTGTGCTCCCGACGGCCGCGCTCGCCCAGCGCTCGCCACATCTGGAGGGGGAACTGGTGCGAGGAGGAGGAGGAGGAGGATCGGGGATCAAGGTCGATCGACGTTGCTGGGTTGGTAGGGCTTCGGGCTGCGCACAGAACGGCCCCCCCAGGTAGTCCCGGCTGGCCTCAACAGGCACCCACGAGAAGTCCAGGGCGGCCGCAACTCCAGGCCGCTGGGGCGCGGAGCGCCCCGGGGGCGCCGCCAGAGGCGGCGCCAGGGTGTCGAGGCCGCCCTGGGCTACTCGTGGGGGCCTGTGGGGCCAGCCAGGGCTACCTGGGAGGGCCGTCTGGTCGTAGCTCGAAGCCTTACCTTCTTGGATCGAAGTTGTTCGACGCTGCTGTGTGTGTGCTCTTGGCCCGCCTTCTTTGGGCCTCCAGAACCCTCAAGAAGGCCTCCCTCCAGGAAGCTCCAGTCTTTGGGAGATCTCCCGAGGCCTCTGTAAACCTCGGAGGGATGATGATGAGGAGGAGGAGGAGGAGGAGGAGGAGGAGGAGTTGGCGGCTCAGGCCGCGGAGGTAATTACCAGGGACTTCTTGAACAACTCGGGGCGGTAATTCTCAAACACGCACCAAACCCGCCGCTTTTGGAGCTCGGTGAATCCGTCCATGCACGCGTCCTCGGGGTAGTCCATGAAATTGTGCACCGGGTCGTCCTTGCCGCAACTCTTGGGCTGCGTGCACTTGTAATTCGGGAATGCCTCTCACGAGCGACGAACATATCCACATTTATGTTTAGGGCGGGCATGTCCTCCTACAGGCGGATTTGGGGAGAAAAGCGAAACACAGTCAAACAGATTCGAACATAGCCCAAAAATAGACGGAAGCTCGTCCCCAAACTGTTTCTGGACTGTTAGGCTCGTCCCCAAACTAGTTCTGGACTATTTTTGAACCTTCCGCCTGTAGAGGGGCGTGACCGACTCAAAAAGTCCATGCCCTCGCGGTCTGGCCCCGGAGGCGCGATGCCATGGAGGCGCTCCGCGCCGGGCTGCCGCGCGGCACGCCGTGCTGCATCCGCGGGGCCGGGCCGAGGAGCCCGGGCCGCATGGCCGTGGCAGCGGGGGCCGGGGGGGGGGCGAGCGGGAAGGGATCCCAACCCAGGGGGCCACATGCGAACCCTCACCACGATATGTCTGAGGGGGAGGGTGGGGAGGGTGAGCAAAGTGAACCCCACCCTCCCCCTCAGAAGTCGTGAGGGGTAGGGGGTCGGGTTCGCGTGTGGCCCCCCACAGCCGGGTGTCGTCAGCGGGGCCTGGGTTCGTGTGGTGCGCGCGAGGCGAAGCTGCGCAGGGGCGGCGATGCATCGGACCAGGCTGGGGCAAAGTCCGGGGAACGAGCAACTCCAACATGTCTCTCGGGGGCGCGCGGGGCTGTCTCGTGCCAATCCCGTGGCTGTCCCGCGGGTTGGCCTGTGGTTGTCCCACAGGTTGTCCCCTGGATTCTCATGTAGGTTGTCCCATGGTTGTCCTGTGTTTGCCCTGTGGGTTATCACGACTGTTGTTCCGTCGTTGTTGCATGCGTTGTCTCATGGTTGCACCCTGGGTTGTCCCGTGAATTGCCCCAAGTCTGGAAAGAGCTGGAGGAGTTCGGCTACTCGGAGTAGTCCACCAAGTTCGAAAAGTTCGAAGAGCCCGGATGGCCCGAAGCGCCAAAGATGCTTGAGCGTCTAGGGTCGCTTGCCAACCCGATACGATGCCAACAGCAAGCCTGAATTGCACCCATCCCCCCAACCTGCGCGTCACCCGAATAATGGTCTATGATGTATACCCAGACATGCGACGTCCCTATTTTTTCAGGACGGCGTCCCCCGAAGTCCTGACCTTCTTTCGGGGCCGGTTTTTCATCCTGAGTCGTTTTCTGACGGTCCTGGGGCCCGGCGAGGGCCTTCCGATGCCGAAATTGGTCAAGAACCTTGCATCCTGTTTCTTGTTTTTGTTTTACGACGCGATCATGTCTGGGGTATGTTTCCCGCCCACGAGCCTCCGGGTGCGTGTCGGCCACGTTGTCGCCGTCCAGCGCGCAGCCGCCCTGGAACGTGTGGTAGAGCCCCAACGAGTGCCCCGCCTCGTGGACGACAGTGTCGCCCTCGTCGTAGGCCGTGTCGAGCTTCAGGGCCTTGCTGCAGGACTCGAACAAAAACAGTGTTTTTCCTTTTCGTTTTGCTTTCGTTTTCCCTCGTTTTGTCTTCGTTCCGCCTTCGCTGCAGAACGAAGTCAAAACGACGACGGCCCACGAAATCGCCAAACCACCGTTTAGGTCGAGCTTCAGGGCCTTGTTGGTGCTGGAGAAGTGGCGGAGGCCGGTCGTGGAGACGCGGACAACCAGCTCGCGCTGTCCCTCACCTGAAAACAACAGCTGCAGACACGAGCTTGCGGAGGTCCATGCGAACGTCTTGGATCGGCGCTTGGCCCCGCCTGGCGCGCTTCCAGCGCCAGGAAAAAGGGTTACAACGACGATCCAGGAATTCCGCGCGAACCTCCGACCATTCACGCTGATGCCGTTTCGCTGCTCTGAATGTGCTTCATGCTGTTTTCCTTGCTTTGCAACGCGTAGACGCAGGATAAAGTGATACACAATTTTCATTGCACCGACCTTGCAGACGTGCTGCAGCGGACTTCTGCGTGGATTTCTGTCAATGCGAAACCCAAAACGGCAAGCGAAAAACAAAAAGGATTTCACCTGGATGTTTGGCGTCTTCATTCTTGGCCAACCAAACATCCGCGCGAAACCCACTTCGAAATCCGGTACGAAACTCTCCAGGACCACCCGGGCCCACCCCATCGTCTTCCGAACGGAAGCCGCTCTGCGATGTTGACGCCAGGACAAGTTTGTACACACGTTCCCACACCAGTGCTTGCACTACAGGGGCGGGGGGGAGGCGTTGACAGATGAATGCGGCAGGCACACGCCAGGCTTCAGGGATATTCTGACCCGAGTAAATCCAGACCCGGGTCAGCAGGAAATCAAAAACTGCAATGCAAGAAACAAAAATCTGCAACGCAAATCTTCGCAAACCCGGGTCAGCCAATATGCGCGGCCGCCTCGCGGCCACGAGCGTCTCGCTAACCCAGGTCAGCCAGAGGGGGTCTTCGCAGGATCCTGCAGGATCTGGCGTCCTGGCTGACCCCCCCTTTGCATTGACCCCCGTCTCAAGGCTCCCGAAGGCTCGCACACCTCCCCGCACCAGTGCTTGCACCTTATAGGGGCTCCGCGCCTGCCGAGGCCTCGCCCGAAGGGGCGGCCGCGTGCGCCTCGTGGGCGCCTCGGGGGCGCCTCGGCTGTGGATTGAGCAGGGACCGACCGTCCCGGCATTCCTACAGTCATACCACAAAATGTTCTTAGAATCCAAAAATGTTCTAAGAACCAAAAACAATGTTCTTAGAACATGAACCCGATGTGTTAAAACAAGACAGTCCCAGCCAGAACTGTTCTAAGAACATGTCGTGGAAACCACAAAGGGTTCTTAGAACATTGTTTGGTAGGGCTATAGGCGAGCCGGGACGCTTCGCCACTGCTTGAGTGGAAGCCGAGGCTCCGCCTGGTGTGCGGCCGTGGGCGCCTCGAGGGCGCCGGAGGTGCTTACCCTTGGATCGGGCATGTCCCCCTAAGGGCGGATCTTGGACAACATTTTGTTCCAAGGATACCCCTAAAAATGCTCTCACATGATCAAGAATAGTGAGAAAAAGAAGGTCCCCAGACTACTTTTTCGAGTATCTTTGAGTGCTCCCCTTGTGGAGGGACAGGCCCGACTCAACGCTGGATGGGCTTGCCGTTAGGTCGGGCATGTCCCCCTCCAGGCGGATTCTGGACGGCAGATGTTTGCAAATGCCCCCAGCATGCCCCAAAAGGGCCAACTGTAGCCCCCCCCAAAAAAGCGTCCCCAGACTGTCCTTTCACTACAAATTGAGCATTCCCCCTGCTTGCCGTCGCTCGGACGCCCATTTCCCGTGCATTTTCGGTTTCGGTGCGTGTTTTTTGTTCCTCGATGGGTCCTCGAGGGTCCTCGCCGAGAAAAACAAATGCACACGTCCGAGCGATGACAGGCCTGCAGGGGGACGGGGCCGACGCAGCGCTGGACGGGCCTGCCGAGGCTGCGCCTCGTGTCCGCCCGGCGTGCGGCCCGCGGGCGCCTGCACCACGCAGCATGCAGCACCACCACCCCAAGTGAAGGAGGAGGGGGAGGAGGGGGAGGAGGAGGAGGAGTGAGGAGGAGGAGGAGGAGGAGGAGGAGGAGGAGGAGGAGGAGGAGGAGGAGGAGGAGGAGGAGGAGGAGGAGGAGGAGGAGGAGGGAGGAGGAGGGGGGGAGGGGGGGGGGAGGAGGGTCTCGTCCTGGGGGAAGGCTCCAGGGTCCAGGACCCTTTGCCTCGTGGCCGACACTCGATCTACAACTCGCTCCACCGTGGTTTGAAAACATTTGGGCCCTCTGGGGCCGTCTCCCTGGTCCGGAGAAAGAAACATGTTTTGTTTGCGGGTTTTGCCACCGTACTTTTAGCCTTGATCCTGCGAGACACAATGCATTTGGGGCCCCTGTTGGGGGTGCCATGGGGTTGCCTCGGGCCCACTAAGGCCGTCTGGATGCCCTAAACCCTCGCGGGCCGCCCGGGGCCCTGCCGGGCGAGAACGCATCGAACGACCGACTTGGGGGGCCTCCCAGGTCGCCTTGGGGCGCTGCGACACCAGAACCGTCGAGTAAAAGAACACGGCTGCAAACAAAGCAGTGGGAACAACACACACACAATGTTGCTACCGATCGAAGCACTCTCGCGGGCGCTCTTGTGATCCTTGGGGTCTCTTCGGGCCGCCTTGAAGCCATCTAGGGCTCCATCTTGAGCGGCCTGAATTATTTCTTGCCGTCCTCACGGGCCCTCGCAGAAGCCCCTGGAGGGCCAGCTGGCCTCCTGGAGCTTAGAAAGTGCCCGCTGTCCTCTGGGGTCCAAGTAGGTTGCGGGGGGGGGGGGGGCAGTCCTGGGGGGGGGGGCTCGAACTGTCAGCTGGGATTCCCTCTCTTGGGCTCCTCGTGGTGCCCGGTCGTGCCCCTCTTGGGTTGTCTCTGGGGCGACCTTCGGCCATCTCGGGGCGATCTTGGGCCGTCTTGGTGCCGTCTTTGGGGCTTCTGGGGCCGTCCAAAGACGATGTTGAGGCTCCTTGGGTTGTCTTGGACTGCGTTCAGACTGAACATGCGAGTATGCAAACAGTGCACGTTTTGCTCAGGGGGTGGGGGGGCGATGCTTGCTTCCCAGGGTTCTCTTGGACGTCCTCTTTGAGCGCTCTTGGAGGCCTCTTGTGCAGTTTGAGGCGCCCCTCCCTCTGCCTCCCCCGCCCGCGCTTCATCGGCTCCTCCAGACTGCTCCCGGAGGACACCTCGACAACGATGATGATGATGATGATGATGATGATGATGATGATGATGATGCTGATGCTGATGCTGATGCTGATGATGATGATGCTGATGCTGATGCTTATGATGATGATGATGATGTTGTTGATGATGATGATGCTGATGATGTTGATGTTGATGTTGATGATGATGCTGATGATGATGATGCTGATGATGATGATGTTGATGTTGTTGATGATGATGATGATGATGATGATGATGATGATGATGATGATGATGATGATGATGATAAGGAGGAGGAGGAGGAGGAGGAGGAGGAGGAGGAGGAAGATGGGGAGGAGGAGGAGGAGGAGGAGGAGGAGAGGAGGAGGAGGAGGAGGAGGAGGAGGAGGGGAGGAGGAGAGGGAGGAGGAGGAGAGGAGGAGGAGGGAGGAGGAGGAGGAGGAGGAGGAGGAGGAGGAGGAGCGGAGGAGGAGGAGGAGGAAGAGGAGGAGGATCGAGGAGGAGGAGGAGGAAGAGGAGGAGGATGAGGAGGAAGAGGAGCAGGAAGAGCCGTCTGAGAGCCCTCGAAGCCACCTTGGGAGCGATTCGGGGCTCTCTCGAGTCGCCTTGACGGCGGTCTGAACGCTTTGGGGGTTGTTCTGCCCCCCCCCCTCCCCCAGGAGCTGGTCAGGCCCCTGGCACCCCCATCCTGTGGCAGTGGTCCTGACCCCTGGGCCCTGGAATAGCCCCAAAAGGGTCCCCAAGAAGGCCCCGAGAGAGCCTCAAGAGGGCTCCGAGAGGGCCTCAAGAGAGTCCCGAGGGCTCCAAAACGGTCCAGGAGGGCCCCAGGATGCGGAGATTGATTTTGGATGGGTTGGTGGGGATACTTTTTATTTATTTTTTATACATTTTTTTACAGCCGCAGGCGGAAGCGCCGGCGGCGAGCAGTCACGGTCGGGCTGCGGCCGCGACTAAATTCCCGGGCGCGCGCGGGGCCGCGGATCAGGCGGCAAGCAGCGGCAGCCCAGGGCGTCTGAGGGGCCAGGCGGTCGTGCAATCCCAGGGAGTCTGAAAGGTCAGCCACCTGAGGGGTCGTGCAAGCTGCGACCCAGGGAGTCTGAGAGGACAGTCCTCAGGGCGAGCCAGGCGCAGCCAAAATGGCGCGCAGTACGTACCAGGCCGCGATCGTGTCGAGACAACCGCGTGGCAGGGAACGGTCTCCGTGCGATAAAGTCAATCCAGGGAGTCTGACGGGTATGAGCAGACAGAAACTGGTGACGTCGTCCAGCAGGAGATGGATTCTGACAGCGCCAGCGAACCGTCGCAGCATCAGAAAGCGCATCCTCGCAAGGGGAAGCCAAAGACAGAGCAGTCAAAGCCAGACCCAACCGCTGCTGAGCGATGCGCCTGTATTGGTGGGGATACGTGAAGCGTCAAGAGTTGGGCTCCAGGAGGGCTTGAAGAGAACAGGAGAAAGAGGCGCAAAATAAGGTCACCAATGATGGGCACGACACGACGGGAGCGTGCAAGCATACAGATGCGTCAGGTTCTAAGTCATGGTAAATTGAAATGCGTATGGCAAAACAGTTGGTCGTGCAAGCGCTCATGCAATGGTTCAGGCGTACTTTGGCGGCGGGCCAGTGGCGGAGGGATGTTGATGGACTGGTTGAAGCGGGGGCAGGTGTAATGGATCAGGTCGAATGCATGGCTCCAGGTTTCGGAGGGTTGCCAGCGAAACTTCTGAGCCATCAGCTGTACGCTGAAACGGCCCTCCTCCCGCCTCCTCCGCCCCTCTCCTCACTCTCCTCCGTCATCCTCCTCTCTACCTCTCCTCCTCTCTGTCGTACTACCTCATCCTTCGGCTCGGTTCTTGGGCGGCAGCTCCGGCATGGGTGGGCCCCCGAGACCCATGGAGACGGCTGGAGAGGCGGGAGCTCCCACGTGCCTCCAAGAGCGTCCCTCGATGCTCTCGGTGAGTTCTCGGGGGAGATAGCTGGTGCCTCAGGCAGACTTTCGCGAGGAGTCCCAGAAAGCCCTCGACGAGGCGCGGCCCAGAAAAACACTCTGGGGCAGAGAAGCGTCCAGGAATCCACGAACACGTTGACAGCAATCTCGATGAAGAGCACAGGCGCTGCGGTGGAATGAGTCATGCACGTGGGTGCAGCGCGTGGGCAGGGGAATGGAGAGCTCAGGCGTGGTTAATGGAATTCGGCATGCAAACGGTGGCAGGACTGGACACGTGCCAATGGAGGTGCGCAAGCGTGTAGATCGTGCAGACCAGGGATCATGGTCCATGGAATGGGGTGCTCAACAACAATTGTTGGTGCAGGCGCTCATGGAATGGTTGAGGAGTGGCGTGGTGATAGAATTCGGCATGAAGGTGGTTGCAGGAACTGGCACGTCACAATGGAGGCACGCAAGCGTGTAGGGCGTAACGATCAGGAATCATCGTACTTGCATTGACTGGAGTGTCGCAGAGCAGCTGTTCGTGCAGGCGCTTGTACAATGGAGGATGCATGATGAAGGCGGTGGGCCGGAGGCGGAGGGGAGCCGATGGAGTGGTTGAGGCCTTGGCAGATGTACAGCCAACCCGTATCATAAGGACGGGCGGCAGGAATGCAAGGGCCTTGGAAGGCCATGCCGGCACTTTGCATACGGGGCGAGGCCAACGAAGGCGGCCAAGGATGGGCTGAAGGGAAAGGAGGCAAGGGTACCCCTTGGGAAGGTTGCACATCCTTACTATGCGGGTTGACCGTAAAAGATGAGGCAGCGAGTGCCCCAAGGCTGTAAAAAGGCTGCGAATGGAACCTCTGAGTCGTCTGGCAAACGCTGAAAACGGCCCTCCACGCACCTCCCTCCTCGAACTCCTCCTCCAACTCCTCCGTCTCCTCCTCCTCCTCCTCGTGCTCTTCCTCGTCCTCCTCCTCCTCCTCCCCCTCCTCCTCCCCTCCTCCTCCTCCTCCTCCTTCTCATTCTCCTCATCTTTCCCCCCCCCCTCCTCCCCCTCCTCCTCCTCCTCCTCCTCCTTCTCCTCCTTCTCCTCCTCCCTCCTCCATTCCTTTTCCTTATGAATAATTTCTCCCTGTCGCACCCCGAGGCCAGGTTTTCGGGCGGGCCGGGCGCTTCGCCTGAGTTTTCATCACCATTTATACTTCTGAAGCATAGAAATTGGCAGCAGCATCACAGATGGAGGGCGGGTGATTTTCAAAATGTGGCTATCGCCTTAGCGCGGCGCACATTCGTTGTAATCGATGCAAGAGTTTGACGGATTGAGAGCGGGTCGTTTTCAAAATGTGGCTCTCGCCTCAGCGCCGCGCACAATCGTTTTAACAATTTGCAAGAGCTTCACGGATTGAGGGCGAGTGGTTTTCAAAATGTGGCTCTCGCCTCAGCGCGGCGCACGCTCGTTTCAAAACTTTGTAGGAGCTTCACGGATTGAGGGCGGCTCCTTTTCAGAATGCGGCTCTCGCCTTAGCGCCGCGCACATTCGTTTACAACATTTTCAAGAGTTTCACATCTTCCCATCATCATCGTACCAGAACCGGTGTTTTGGAAGGATTCAGGATTATGCGGGTGCAACAGTTACGTTGGTTCTCTGTGTTGAAGTCCTAAGAATGGCGTTCTTGCGCGATTCAGGATCGTCAAGACGCAACAATCAGGTTGATCCGTGGCGTTGGACTCCTGAGAACAATGTGTTGGCATGCTTCAGGGTCTTCAAACGGATGTCTTCCAACGAGGCAGTTCCCTCAATGAAAATGAACTGTTGTAGGGGCTTGATAAGAGGGAGCTTGGAGGGAGGGTTTACTCCAACATCGCTGATGACTCTTGGGTTTACTCTGGTCCTACTCATCCTCCTCCGACTCCTCCTCTTCCTCCTCTTTCTCCTCCTCCTATTCCCGTCGGCACGGTTTGGGACTAAAGGGGCCATGCCCCAAAACGTTTAGTGTATAGGCCTGCTGGGGCGTGGTGGGGTCTCCTGGGGTCTCGTGGATGGGCCATCCGTACCTCCGAAGGTTTCTTTGCGGTCTATTGGGGGACACGGTCAGGAATCGTAAGGATCTCTTTTGGACCAGTTCGTAGGGGAGCATCGTCGATACTCGTCGGGAATCGGAGGGCCCGAACCCCTTCTCAGAAATGTCTTGGAGGCATGTTTGAACTTTCTTGGTGTACCTGCTATGAATGACATAAGTGTAGCAAATTGTAGCGTGCTTACTATTACGTCTTCGATCACCAGTGAGCTGAGGGAACTCCGCCATTCCCAAGATGCCAGACTTGTCGTCACCAACGAAGATGACCGTGAACAGGCCGAAAGGATCGTGGTTGTGCCTCGCAACGAACTTCGACTCGACGAAAGCTTGCTCGGCGCACTCCTTGTCGTGCGCAAATATTATGCGGGCGCAGTCTTCAAAAGCGGTAGGCGTGCAATTTTTCTTGAATAGGTCGAACTCCATCTGCATGTCCGCCTCGGGAATGTCCTCGTGGTCGAAGGCCATCGGCGAATACGTAGACCTCCCAGAGTAGGCTATGTTCATCCATCTGGCCTGGTCCAGCAGCATGGGCCTGTTTTGGAGGTGGCCAGGGGTCTGAGCTGGGTAAGCCCAGATAAATTCGGCCAAGAGGCGGAATGAAGGCAAGCTCGTTCAAAATCTGTCCCCAGACCCCTCCCAGATTTCAAACTGACCAGCTTCCGAGCCGCGTCCAGCCGCAGCGACGAGGAAGCCCTCATCCCTCCTGCCCTCTGGCCAGAACCAGGGGTGGGTCATCTTGGCCCCCCAGCAGGCTTCAAGGCCTGTTGATGCCAGCGTGCGACAACTTGGAGGAGCAGACGATGAACTGCGTGGGCACCACGAGCTTCCTCCCCTCTGGCACCGCCGGGAGCTGCCAGGACTTGCTGCACTTGTCCTTGGGGAGGTCCCGCTCGGCTAGCTCCGCCCTCCGGAGCGTGTCGTCAGACCGCGAGACGAGGTCGATGTGCTAGGAGGCAACTGCTGGGAGGTCTGCGTACGACGACTTATGGGCTATTGAAATCGATTGAGTGAAAATGAGCTGGGTCAGCTCAAACGAAGCCCAGAATTAAGCCAGCTCAGAAAATACCAGGCGGAAGGAAGCGGGATTCTGCCGGACCGGGCCAGGTTTCGACCGCGGATGCCCTCGCGCCGATGCTGAGTTTGCCCCTCCCAGAAGTTGCACCCTAACGATGTGGTGTTTCCACTGGGAGGGTAGGGCGACGTGGCCGTCGGCCTCGAAGAGCTGGATGGTGGTGCCCTGGTGCTGCACCTCCCCCACGCGGCGAACCTCGACACACTTGTGGGGGCCCCTGATGCGGCCGTCCGCGCACTCGCCGCCCTCGGGGGCGCCCCTCTGCGCCTCCGAGGCCTCTGCGTCGCACTTCGCGAAGAAAGAGCGCGCGACCATCTCCGCGAAGAGCGGGGGGTACGGGTGCCCCACGTAGCTGTAGAACTCCTTCCAGGCCGCGTTGCTCGGAAGGTAGAGGCACCCCCCGTGCAGGAGCGACGGCCCGTAGTCCTTGTCGCGCACGTAGCTCAGGATGTGCTCCGAGTGAAACATGCTCGGGACCCGACCCAGCGCCCCCAGCAGGGCATCGTAGGCGGCCAGGTGCGCGGCCTCCCGGGCGGCCTCGCGCTCGTGGGCGCGCGTCCGGTAGGTGGCCGCGGGCGCGGGCTCGGGGGCGTCCTCCGGCGCCGCCGCCGAGGCGTGCAGCCCGGCCGCGCCGCGGGCGCAGGCCGCGAGGAGACCGAGCGACCGCGCCAGCGTCTGCGCGCGCGGGGCCATGCTGCGCGGCCTGTGTGTGCACACGGTCTGCGGAAGGGGCTCGGAAGAAGAGAACACGCCATGAACGCAAACTCTGGGCGCTGCGCGCGGCTTCCTTGGATCTGCGCCGGACCTCCCTCCCTGGCGCGCGGAGCGCGCGCCGCCGAGGGGGTCCCAACGCAGATCCAAGAAATCCGCGCGGACCGCCAGAAGTTTGTGTTTATGGCGTTTTTTCTCGGCGGTGACAAACCTCCCTTTGGTAAACCACCCTTTAGTGAAAACGGCCTAGGACCGAAACCGACGGGCCCGGACCCGCAAAAAGGACGGCCGCGACGCCCTCTGGCTAACCGAAAACGGCCAATTCGCTAATCGACGTGTCAGGGTAGGAGCTCTATCAACCTCCGATTTTCTTCTTCGGGGATTGCTGCCGCGTCGCAGTCGGGCGCCTGCGACGTGGACGTGGCTCGAGCAGGCGATCGGTGCGAGCCTGGCGCCCGGCGCGTGGTGCCCCGTGCGTCACACCTGGCCCCCAGAGCCTGCCGCGTCGGAGCACCCGCTGGAACCGGTGCGCTCTGTGCTGAAGCCGTGGCAGCAGCCCCTGCACACACAAGACATGTATTGAAAGACCCCTTGCGTGCCGCAGCCCGAAGGGGGTCGATCACACCTGGTTGCGATCGGCATCAAGTATCCCATGTGGTTGGGATCGGGCGTCATTGCGATTATATACACCCCATGCGGTGCCTGCCGCGCCTGCCCTTGGTTGTGTATATATATATATATATATTTGTGTATACACATGTATTCTCTGTTTGAGGGCGACGCGCAACCAACGTGCAGCATGTATATGCACGACGTGTACATGCACACTCAAAGTAGCTACGAGTAAGTGTACAGAATTATACACTGGCGGCCTGTTCAAGCGTGTGGGGGTATCAAATAACATCCCTGCAGTCTCCGAAGCGAGACGGCGGATTCTGGCGCGGCACTCCGGACGGCAAACATATCTGCCCCGCAATTTTCGGCAGCTGCACGGGAGGGAGACTTCACCAATGATAATGTGCTGGCAGTGATGATGACGATGGCGAAGACGGTGGCGACGGCGACGGTCCTAACAATGTCGGCACGCCCAGAGTCAACTCGGGTCAGGGGGTCAGGGCCACGGCGGCTCGGTATCTGGCGGTACGTGAAGCGCCGCCTTCTTCCGATGAGTCGTTCGTACGCTGCTGGTGATTACCACGAACTCGTCTGGACGAAAAAATGCGACGTAACAATGTCGTAAACAGAGGAAGAACAAATTGGTTGCACCGGACAAAGTAGCGAACGCAAAAAAACATCAAAAAGCAAAAAACATACATGCGGACAACCGAAGCCACAGAACATAAACGCACCAAAAAAAAAGAACCGAAAAGAACAAAAGAAAAGCCAAAAAAAAAAAAAAAAAAGTGCAGACAAGCAAACTTACAGGAGCAAAAGAAAATAAACAAAAAGAACTGAAAAAAAAGACCAGGAAACAAAAAGATAGACACAAGACAAACAGAGGAAGAACAAATTGGTTGCACCGGACAAAGTAGCGAACGCAGCCGAATACTGAAATTTACCCACGCCAGCCCATGATAAATGTATCCGGGTGACAAAACCAAAATAAAGGCCTGCAATCCACGCCACCAATACAATAATGAATCCGACAAAAAACTGCTTCGCGAACGCGGATCGATATTTCGATGGATACGCATCTACATACGTGGCAACAAACATAGAAGGCAAATAGCATAACCAAAATATGGTCCGCTGATCGCGAAGCATTTGGACAGCTTGCAAAGTAATGTAGACTACGAGGTAGAGGTTGAAGTAGGTTTCAAACTCAATGCTAACCTCTTTGACCAAGTCGACAGAGAGCATGGTCGCCGCGCATATAGGCAACGGCAACATCAATACTGAACCCCAACAGCACACAATGCGAAGCAAGCCCAGCAAGGGCAGCAGCCCGGTCCACAACCCCAGCCACCACAGGGACCACAGAATGATCGTTGACAGCCTTCTTGACACGAAGAGATCAAACAGCCTGTGCTCCGCGTCCGACTCCTCAAAAGGGGCCCAGGGACTCACAAATAAATACATAGACACAAACCCAAAGATTCCTCATATTTCCCTGCCTCTATATTCTAGGTTTTCGTCTTGCGCTCCGTTTCCCATCTTCTCCCCTCTTCTCCTGGGCATCGACGACTCACTGGGTCTGTGTTTTTTCTCCCCTCCTGATCCTTCCCCAGCACCATGCTGGCCAACGTCCGCTTGGTCTGCACCCGCTGGACGACCCTGACCGGCTCGATAACCCTCACGCCGTCCTCGTCTGTTGGAGGCCCGGAGATGGGCACCAACACCAGCACAGGGGGTCGCCTCCACAGGGGTAAGATGATCTTAGATGTTGGTGTAGGTGGCACAAGTTCGGCCGCCTTGGAAGCCCGAATACTACCACCATCACTGAGATTGGGAGGAGGAGGAGGAGGAGGAGGAGGAGGAGGAGGAGGGGAGGAGGAGGAGGAGGAGGAGGAGGAGGAGAGGAGGAGGAGGAGGAGGAGGAGGAGGAGGAGCAGCAGGAGCATCTCACCTCAGCTGAGGCGCACCGCCGATCCTGGTGTTGGTGTCGAGCTCTGGGCCGTCCTCGTCTGACCCCGCGGGGCCGCCCTCCGGGCCTCCCGCGGCGGTGCCTGGCGACCAGGGCGGCGAAGAGGCCTCCTCGTCGCTGCCCTCGGAGGACTCACAGATGGCTGCTGGTATTAGGTCGGGCATGTCCCCCTGCAGGCGGATTGTGGGCGAAAAATTTAAAACAGTTCAAAAATAACAGCAAATAGCCAAGCATACCGAAAAACGTCGTCCCCATACAATTTTTGACCATTTTTGAATATTCCTCCTGTAGAGGGACATCCCCGACTTAATGCTGGTACAAGTGCGTAGACCGCCCCGCCGCCTCCGCGGGTGCGCGGCGTGCCAGACTAGACCTGCTGAAAACCTGGCGCCAACGCTGACGACAACGACCACGACACTAGAGTCCTCCTAGATGGGGTCGGAGTAGATGGGTCGGAGGATCGCGCCGCATCGCCGATACATCGGCGATGCATCGGCGATGCACCGGCGATGCATCGGCGACTTCGGCGATGCATCGGCGCCGTCGGCGTCGAGAAAGTTGGCTCCACATCGAGCCGCATCGTGGATGCATCGGCGATGCGGCGCGATCCTCCGACCCCATCTAGAAGGCCTAGAGACAACTGGGACGGTGGTGATGATGACGCCGAGGTCGACGGCGATGAGCACCATGCTCGCGATCGTACTCATGCCCGTGCTCACACTCATACCGCCAATCCGCCAACGTGCCGCAGGCACTGCGTGGAATGTCTGCAATAATGCGGCACGCTATCTTCAAGGGTTCTAGACCCCGATCACGTCTCCTGGGCGCTCTCGCGCGCTTCCGGGGTTCGCCGCATGACTTTCCCAAAAGCCTCGGAAGCGCGATGCGCAATCCAAACTTCCAACACGTCCTCAGAGGGTCCCGGGCTCGTCCTCGGAATCTCTTGGGGGTCTCTTGGGCCGCATTGCAGGCCTCGGGTGGCCGCCCAACAAGCCATTGAACACGCATGGATTTCACATCCCGCGTTGAAGATGGTCCCTGGGCGACCCCGAGAACGCCAGTGGGCCCGCGAGGAGGTCCCCCCGAGGTCTCTGGGAGGCCTCAGCGGGGCACCCATGAAGTACCCAAGAGGCCTTCGAGGGGCCCCCAAGAGACCTTCCAGACTGTTCTGGTCCCAGGCACGGTGGAGTGGCCTCCGGCCCCATCAGACTCTTCAGTACAGAGTATTGTATATAGATTCTTCAAGCGACCGAGCCCCTGAGCTTCGGGCGCTCCAGTATGCTTCTGGGCGTTCTTGGGGATCGCCGCATGCTTCCAGAAACCTTGGAAGCGCATCTCTGAACCCACATCGCAAACACAATCTGAAATGGACTCATGGACGGTCGGCCGAAAGGGCAACAGCAATGGAAACGTGTTGACAGATGCGAACGTGTGTATATGTATGTATGTATGCATGAATGCATGCACACATATCTATATATATATATATATGTATATATATATATATATATATACATATACACACACATATATATGTATATATATATGTGTGTGTTCAGATGTGCATAGATGCATGCGTACAAGTGTGTGTATGTATGTTTGTTTCGATGTATGTTGTTGTGCATGCATGCATGTATGCGTGCTTGTAAATATGCATGTATGTATGTATGCATGTATGTAGATACGTACGTGTATGTGTAAACATGTGTCTGCCTGTCTGTAGGTATGTTTGTCGGTATGACTGTATGTAGTCAAGTCTGTATGCCTGTATGTATGTATGAATGCATGCATGCATGCATGTATGTATGTGTACGTATGAGTGTACGTACTTACATGTATAAGCATATTTACATATCATGCGTTTGTATATAAACATGTATGTTTCTCTGAATCCAAGGCGCCCAGGACGGCCCAAGGAGCCCCACATATGGTCGCAAGGCGGCCCCAAGAGCTCTCGGTGGGCGGGGCGGGGAGGGGGGGGGTGGGGGGGCAAAGATGGGGAACTCGAATGGGCCCGCAGGCCCTCGAAGAAGCGCACGAGAGTCCCCCAGAGACCCCCGAACCCCGGCGAGGTTTCCAAGTGGCCCCCTAGAGACCTCACCGAGGCCTCCAAGAGGCCCCCCAAGATACCCGAATCCCCCTCTCAGAAGACGTTGGCCAACGACCAACGACCCAGGCACGGTGGCGGGATGTGCAGAAGGGGCACACGGTCCTCCCCTCCTGTGTTTGCCTCGTGGGCGCTCGGCCTGCCATGCGCAGCCGCCCCTGATGGCCCTTCCAAACGTACAAGAATTGCTCGTCTACTGCCTGTGCCGCCTTTCAATCTCCGACAGGCATTCTGACCGCACACACACAATACATTTCGTCTCCCAGATGCCCTCGATGGCTCGATAGGGCTTCCAAGACGGCCCAAGGTGGTCCAATG